AAAAATAATTCTTTTTTTTTTTTTTATTTCTAAAAAAAAAAAAAAAGGCAGTCCAAAGAGACATTTCCTAACAAAGAAAGCAGTTCTCTTGTGTACAGTGAACAAGGACATATTTAATGGGTAGAGGAGAGGGTTTTTTTGCCCTTCAGAAAGGCACCGAGCACACTGTGTAGACAGCAGCTCGGCAATTGCTAAGTGTTCAAGGATGGTGGAAAGCTCCTCCCATCTGGCATTGCTATGTACCTACATAACTCCCGGCTAGCTAACGTTATCAGTTTGTCCTTGTGCTCACACGAGTGAAAGCTTTTATAAATCTGCAACATTAAAAGTTGCTCCGTCTCTTCAGCTGAAAAAGTGTATGGTTCCTGAGGTCATTCACAAACTCACCATTACCTTTCATTAAAAATAATATATTTTTTAAACATTCTTCTTCCCATTTCTGAAGAACATAGAATCTCCTTCTAGCTGATTTTAAGATCTGCAACAGCTGTAAAAATACTTCCCTGCAAATTCATTTAAGATTTCCTTTGCTCTTTTCTGGAGCGCATTCCCCAGTCACATTGCTGTAATGCGAATTCAACAGATGTCCAATTTGTACTTATTCTCCCAGGGACTCCAGCGCAGCAGCTAATGTAATGCAGAAATTAGTATTCTGGTCTCTCATTCTGGGAACTTTAACTTTGTTTATTGGTAGTCTTGGTCAGATATGCTGAAATACATAACATTCATAATTTATTTGGTCATTCATTGACGGGCCTTGACAGTCTGCCTGAAGCGTTTAAAGTGCAAATTCGATTTTGCATTTCTTTTCTAACATGTCTTCAAGAAATGGGATTTCCAAACCAGCAAATATTCTGCCATGAATAGTACAAAGGTAGTATTCTAGGTTTTAGACTATCTTCAAAAATTGATTTGACTTAAGACTTACTCTGAAATTCCTTTATAGGTAGCAAAAAAGATATTTCAAAACTGAATTTATAAAACCTGATTTTTGAAACTGAGTTTCAAAACCTCATGTATTGCTTATAGAAAGTTGCTGTGGCACAGACATGCTTTAATAAAAATGGAACTTGCTATGTAATAAAAGTTACTGTATCAGATGCTCCAATTTCAAGCTGACAAAGGATTTCTGTATCAGTTGAAAGAATTTCAGTTTCAGAACCAGTATGAAGAGAAAAAGATAAACAGAACTGGGTACCTTTCAAATATTTTGATATAAAGGGTGATGAAATAAGAAAAAAAAACTTTAACTTTTGTTCATTGCATTTTATTAGGTAAGTACTAAAAGCAGACATCTTTACCTTTTTGCTCTGTTTTTGAGTTTGGAGAGTATAATCTCAAGTAGCAGGTGCACTGAGATGAGCTCTCTCAGCTCAGTCTGAAATCTGTTTGTTCCCTCCAAGGCGAAGGTGGGCCAGAGAACCACGCTTTGCATCAATACAATTCTGTCAAATCTTTCTATCCACTGTCATAGTCATAGCCTTTTACCAAATAAACAAATCAACCTGGTTTCATAATATGGCATTTCCAATTGTACTTAGAATACGAAGGAGGAGGATTCCCTTCTCAAAAATGAAAAACTATTATTCATTGAAGAATTGCAAACTAGCTGAAGTGGGAAGGAGCCTCTGGAGATGATCTTGCCCAACCCTCTGCTCAAAGAAGTGTCACCTACAGCAGGTTGCTCAGTCACGTCCAGCTGGGTTTTGAATTTCTCCAAGGACAGAGACTCCACTCAATTGCTAGTCTGTATCTAGAGCTAGGAGGAGGAATTTGTTCATTTTGACAAAATGTTTGGAAGCAAGCAACAGAGAAAAGCTTGACAACATCTTGGACCTCCACTGAGGGCTGTGGCTCAGGGAAAACTCTCTAGTCCTAGATGACCAGGCCCTTCTTCCCGCCAAGGTAGGCAGGATTTTGATCTCCTAACACCACACTCACCAAACAGTACCAGTGATAGGATTATTCAAGGACCAGGCAGAGTTACATATCTTAGGTGGTGTGGGGCAAAGAGCCAAACATCCCTGCAGGGGGATTTTTCCCTCCAAGGTGTAGTAAATGTCTGCTTCATTAATAACAGGGATGAAACTTGTTAGCTTACATGACTGAAGGCTTGTCTCAGCACACAAGAAGGAGCAGATGGGCACACTGGCACGGGAGGGAGCCCCAGTCACCTCATCAGAGCAATGGAGCCCCCAACAACCTCATGTTCCAGCTGACCTTGGGACACTCAGCCCATGGGCTGGGGCACCCCATCACCACGAGCCAACAGGAGAGGGGTCTCCATCACCCCACAGATGGAGGGGTGGTCACTGACAGAGGTCTGGGGACCACCATGGGTGGGAAGGGGAAGGGTATTTGAAGATTGCACAGGACTTACTAGGGGATGTTCCAAGGAGGATGGGGAAAGGGAGGATCAAGGTGGTTTGGGAGGAGTGAGGGGGAAAACAGCAGGAAAAGGGAACAAAAAGGGCCAGTGGTGTGCAAACAGGGGCTGGTCAGTGCACCTGTCTGGCTGTGCCCTGTGCGTGCCCAGCTCAGTCTGTCCTGTCCTCTCACTAAACCCCATTTCTAGCCATTTTCCCAGGCAAGGGGTTCTGTCCTGTCTATGGGGGTCTCAGTGACAGCTCCTGGGATGGGGCAGAGGCTGGAGGCCTGTGCGTCCATGGTGCCAGTGACTGGAGCAACCAAGACAGCTGGTGGAGGGACCAGAGCGTCCAGATCAACTGCCTGAGAGACTATGAGATCTGGGGGGCCAACTGTAATCCACCTGCGTGTGTGTGTGTGTCTATGGGAACATGTGCTCAGCCCCACTGCTGGGTGGACGTGGGTGCAGGGAGCTGCAGCAACCTTGCCTCCATTAGGCCACCAGACTCAGCAGCCACTAACACCGTTCAGCAAGCCATCACAGGGGAATCTTTCATAAACTGTGAAAAGATTGGAGACTGCAGTATTTCGCAGCTTCCAGATAGATTTTCTCATTAAGTCGTAGGAAGGCAAATTGTCCAGCTTTACTGCAATATTCAGGCTGGGCTGCAGCACAGCCCCCAGAGCATCCTCCTGAACTCAGAGAGCACCTGATTTAAAAGAGGCCTTCATTAAACTGTTCTGATACCCGACAGATGGCATTCATTGCAACCTTTACATCAAAATACCAACCCTTGGATTCTGTTGCTAATTTATTTCAAAAGGTCAGGCAAGGATTTGTGTGCCCTCAAGGAATCGATTGTTTTATAGGAAGCTGCAGTTTCTGTATTCAAATAACCCCTCATAGGCAAAATGCTGCAATTTTCCCAGTTAAACTGTATCGGAACACCAATTATGCAACTGATTATTAAATGAAGATAAGCCATGCAGGCTTCCATGAAGAAGACTAATTGTTTTTTTTCAATTAAAATGAAGACACTTGGGTCTAAATTAAGACCCTGACAAGAAAAGGTAAGCAAATTAGTTTCACTGAGAAAAGCAGCTACTGCATACCTGAAATCTTCAGGATTGAACAATGAAGGCTCAGTCAGCAATTTTAATAATCAAAATGAAAGTATCCCTTAAAAAGTCCTTCTACTTAAAGTTAATTCAAGGAGCAAATGAAAACTAGTCCTTGCATTTCAGTATCACTAGCTGATTACACTGAGGTCTGGCCAGCACCAAGTGCTTTTTATTTTATTTGAGTATATAAGTACTTCTGTCTGACAAGTATTTTAACAAGCTATGCAACTTTCCCCAAATACAAAACTGCTTTATTTGCCCTTCACGGCAGTGCCTGTTCAAAAACAGAGACCAGAGAGTACTAACTGAATAAAGCAGAGCTCATTATGCATAGACATGCAAATGTCTCATTAAAAAAAAAATTAAAAATCCCAAAACATGTTTAGAATTATTTTCATGCAGGCTGATGGAGTTTTCTTGTTGC